GACCAGCTGTCAATTGGCTTTACTGGAAGATTCATGCTGATGCTGTTTCCGAGGTAATCTCCTTCGATTCCGATGAAAAGGTGCTAAGACTTCGTCCGTCATATGACGAACATTATCCGAGCAAGGTATCATCATCACAACCAAATTTAAGCTAACGAGTCAAGAAAACTCCAAACCCAACTTTTATTCGCACATGTTAGTTTTACTTGAGTGTGTGTGTTACGTTCATACGCAACACCGGTCCCGAATCAAAGTGATAATAAAAGCCCAATATCAGGAGTCTCTGGTCACCAAGGCTTAATGACCCAAGAAAAAGTCCGTGAGCAATTATGGTTGAGATGCTGACAGGTAAGCTGGTAAGCGTGTAGGCCAGGTCACGAAACCACCTGTCCTAACCTTTCCGTCTAGGATCATTCAAGTTTAACAACCCAAGGAAAGGCATGACTGGGGCTGCGTAATCTGGCACGTCTGGTTTGGTCGACGAGCTCAAGCTAACATGTTGGGCGAGTGTGAGTGAAATGAGAAGCATCACTGAGCAGACAAGTTGAGACGCCTTCTTTTGGATGGCGGCTTAACACCCTCTCTCTCTCCTTCAATCTATCAATCAAGCATAAATAGTTTCTATTCTACTTTCTACCAGCATTCATCATATTAAACGCATTCCGTAATCTCTTAATTTTAATTTTCTCTCTTAACTTCCTTCTAACAGCAGAAGTATTGTAGTCAGCAAGCCTACGTATTAGAGACTAAACTGCTGCAGAACAACGACAATGAACTATCGCTTTCTGGTGAGCTCGATCTACGAATCCATACTTTATGCACTTTTCTACGAAATGGAATTCTCCACAATAATGTAAGCTCAGGAGATTCATCGAACACCGCTTTTTCTTCATATATTTCAATATAGCTAATCAATGATATCAATTATACTCTTTGTAACTGAAAGTGTGGTTCAGTTTGAGTTCGAAAGTCAGAATTTGAGGAGCAGAGGAGAGTAAAGTATACGAAAGTCGGCTAGGGGTTAATCGCTAGTCATCTTCCCGTGGACGGGGTATAATAAATTCTTCTCCAATTGCCCTAATAAATATGAGAATAGCACAAATAAATAGTAGAGAACCATTTTACCTCGTTGGTTAAATAATTAGCCGACTTCATTTTGCCCACAAACTTGGTTGTGGTCATTCTGATAAAATGAGCAAAGTTGCAGAGGCAGGCTATGGATAGTATTGTGATTTCGCTGCACAAATGAACAGAGGTATGGAGAACTTACAGCTCGTGAATCCGTCTAATGGATTTTTGATGAGTCCATCCTAAGGCCCAAAAGCTACTCAAAAGCTATCTAATGACATTCTCTGAAGAGAAATTGGCATTTTTCTAATCATTTGGCCTTCTACTTGGTTTAAGAGCTGCAAGGAAGGGATTCATATGATAGCTTAACTAAGACGCGAAGGAAAGAGAATAGAATTTCAGATTGTTGAATTGCGTGTGGTAGTCTTTGGCACAATGTCCTTTTAATCAGGTAGTGCTATAATTTCGTCTTTTCTTCCATGTCAAGTGTCGAAAGCACCTTTCAAAAAAACTTTCAAAAAGCCCAAGCCAAAAGATATTTGTCGCTTTCTCGTAGGTTCGGCAAGACAACCTGTGGTAACAATGACTTGCATTGAAATTGGCATTAAAAATTCATCGAATAGTGACTCGACTTAAAACACTATGGGGATAAACAAATTTCAAGGTATTTAACATGGCTAAAAAGTCAAGCAATTGTGCAGAGCCTGTCAGATTATGCTAAAAGATAATTTCAAAAAGCCCAGGCTGAAATCTACAAGAGAAAACATGAGCTATTCGAATAAAACTAAAGTGAATTAAGGGTGATCTACGCCATGCCTCTCCCGATCTCTTTGTTATAGTTGGACCGTTTTCAAAACGGCAAGTTTGTATTTGGCTTTACATTTGACATGTCTAGGTGTGGATTTAGTTATAATATCCCCTAAAATAACCTTGAGTTTCTCAAAGTCTATTCAAGATCTACCGAAAAGTACGAAAACAGTACACTTCATATGCTTGATAGTTAATCTCAAAATTTCAGAGAAGGAGGACCATCGAGACTAATAAAATGTATATTTTTGACAGGGTTGCCAATATCTACATATGGCCAATACTTTGAGTAATCGCACGATTGCACAAATATTTCATAGTGTCTGTTGATAAGATGAAAAACCACAAGTACAGCAATGATGGATCATCAGCATCCTTTAACTTCTCTCCAGCTTTGACTAATATGAGCATACCGAGTGTAAGATTAGCTGATAAAGACCATTATCATATTGAGCCAAATTTGCTTAAACTAAAATTACTTAAGAATAATTATCCCTCGGACCGGATTGAAAATAATATTAGATTATTGAGAAATGCTCAAGTAAGAATTACTTATGCATAACTGATAAACTAAAAAGTATATTTCATAGATATGAAGACCACGATGGTGTGATCTCCTGTTTGGTCGCAGTCTTCGTTAGATTTATAGTATTCATAACTTGCTAGGTTTTACAAAGTCTCCCTGGAGCTCCGACAAAATTGTCAAAAATATAGTGTTGAGCCGCATGAAAAAAGGAGACGTCTCATTTAATCTTCTCTTTTCATAGTTATGATCACGGTCATTTATCTACACATTTTAGTCTAATCGGCTAAAATGTCTACGGACGAAAGCTTAGCATGTTTTCACCGGAATCGAATGAGATTGCCTCGGAAATAGTGTTTCAGTAAGGCCGATCAACGGCTGGCCTAGAGGAACCTGCCATCAGTTTCTGGTTGGATGGTCCTTCGAGTCTATTCACCAAACACTTTCTATCGAAATGTAAGGGAGATCAACAATTATAAACAAAGAGATTGCTCGAGAACGCTTTATAGCTCTGATGATGACTCTCTATTGGCATGGTAGACTAAGGCACAGGTCGTTTTCAATAGGACTAAAGGAGTTTGTTTCGCGAATTGATTCAACCTAAATGTTTCTGTGAACTCAAACAAGAACGGACCAACGGGAAGTTAGCGTAGTTATTTGGGGAGCTCTTCCTACAAATCTTTTCGTCAAAAGCCTTAACTCAGAATAAAAAGTAGGCTCAACATTGCAATGTCGGGGGATTCTTTTGAGGCCAGTTACTCCTAGTATACATCACCTAATAATTAATTTATTCAATAAAAAAGATATATGAAATGTAATCTCGTAATTCTATTCATAAATGAAAATAATCCGATTACACAAGAGTGAACGGATGGGGTTTTGCTCATCACTAACTAGTAAGGAAGTAAATGATTGTTTGCAGACCCCGAATTTTACTTGGCAAATATTTACTAAAAGTGTGACAACTTCCTTCTATTCGGTAAGGATATATATTCTGGTATGACACGATCTCGTCGATTTACATTTTTTGTTTGCTCAGAAATCGGTGTCCTGTGAAATTAGGACTGGCGAATTTCTACCATAGAAAATATTTTCCCAGAAAGAAAATTGAAGACGAATTCGAAATATCTCATTTCCCTGTTCCATCAAAACTGTACGTTTAATTTTATTCTGGACGTAGTTTAAGAAAAAAATCGTATTTCTGAACAGGACCCAACTGTAAATGGAGTGTAGAAGCCACTTAATTTATCACTATTGGCAAATATTCAAAGAAAAACACTCAGTATGTGTTAAGGTAGGAATCAGTGATATTATGATAAAATAAAGTTTTATTCCTGTGCATCTGTGAGTGCTAGAGTTGATTATAGAGTCAGTTGATATTTTTGATTGATAAGCTGCCAAGGGCAATGTTAATAATCCATTTTCTTTACGGAATTACATTGAACTATCTATTCTTAGGGGAGCTGTAGGCCGGTCAGGTCAACAACACCGACTGGATTCGAGCTCAATATTTTTGTGTTGAGGTGAGGACGGGTTAAAATTGAAATCATTCGACTCTTACTATTTTAGTCTATTAAGCAGGCATTGATTTTTGGGTAGGCAGGTTTCTCTCGACATTCTCATGGTTATCGGATATATCGGGTCAGGACGATAGGGAGGATGGATGAGATAGTTTTGGCTATCTAATTCATGCAACACACCAACAAAGAAGTGATTCTGAGATCTATTCAATTTTCTTAGCTCAGACCATATAATTTATGGCTTTGGATTATTGTTATTTATTGTGTTGGCTTACTTAATAATGATTTCAGTAGACCAAATAGCTGGCATTATGAGGTTAATTCAGGTTTTAGTTAAAATTAAAGAGCGATTTGCAGCAACTCTGATTAATCGGAAGATATTTAAGCCATTCACATTAAAACAGCAGGAAAAGAGTGAATTTCTTAATAAAAATAATCATAAAAATCTAGAATTCTTAGATGAATGCCAAGGAGATTAAGTTGTACTTCGAATAAACACGCTACTTTCCGGAGAAAGTTTGACAACCCTGGTTCAACCCTTAGAAACCCTTTGCGTATACTCTAAAAAATATTTACTCGCTTGCATCGTCCTTTCCTGATACTCCTATTTCATTGGAACCACTAGGCAAAGCATGCATATGGATATCCTGATTAGCTGATGGTAATTAACCTGTATACGTTTGTTTTAAACACACAAGTCTAAGAAACGAGACATCATTGACGGCTTACAGCGGCCAATTTCTTGACTTCCTCGTCCGGTGCCCCGAGAGAAGCCAACCCGAGCTCCTGGGAAAACTGGGCAAAACCAGGATCAGCAAGAAGAGGCATATGACCGAGCAGTTCGTGACAGCAGTCACTATAAGGCAGAAAAAACGAAGTGGAAAAGTTAATTTAAAGTTTATGATATAAGTACGAAGACAACTCAATACCTTAAGTCGTTTCGACTAAATTGTAGGCATCGTTTACTAATGGAAATTTCACAATTATTCTTCGTTGCTATAGAAATAGCTACTCAACTATCCTGGGCGGTATGTTGCAAAACTGGGCTTTGAATAAGCTTTTAATAGATTGCTTTTGAAGTACCTGCTATTTCGTTTGAATAGGCGCAAAGCATAATGTCCTGCTATAGCGATGTCCATCACATGACGGATAAAAGCTTGGCCAGGATACATTGTGGTCGCGAGCGGGTGTATCGAGGACTTATTATAACAAATATACCCTCACAGCTTCGAGGTAATCCCCCTCCAGATTCCAGTCAGGGTAACTTACAAATCCTTTCCACTTGCCTCTTTGAATTAAATGAAAGGTACCCCAATATCCTGAGGGCCTTACGGTCGATTATTCGGAGAATCTTTGCTTTGTTAAAAAATAGCCGTCATAGGATTGAATTAGTCAATATTCAGGTAGTCCCAAAAACATTTATTTCCTATAGAACATTAGAATAAGTCAAAAGATTTTTAAAAGAAATCTTTCTTAAAATCTGAAATAAGAATACTTCTGAAGCGTGCAGCTAGAGCTCACCACAACTACTGAGAATTTGTATGTTGTAGACATATAAGAGAGCGATAACAATTGTGCCAATGACGAACTTGAAGGGAAGACTTTGATTTTTAATGAATTTCATCGCATACTGTATTAAATGAAGTCCAATACACGATGGACTACAACTTTGAGCTAGCCTCGGCTCCATCAAGATCTCCAGAGAGAGTTGTACAAACGATGTACTGGAAAACCTGTAAATAGGTGAGTCAAAAAAGCTTGTTTGGCTTATAATTTTTATTTATAATGTAGCACTATGCTGCAAGAGTTGCATGGCTTTGGGGCAAACTTATTCGCCAATTAACCTGCATCTTCATTGTTATAATCCCATTTGGAGGGATGAAGAGACGATAGAGTGTGGTAGAAACTGCAGTCATTTTCGAATGTGAGCAATTCCTTGGTAATCATCGAGCAGTAAAACTGATTATATGAGTAAATCTTTTCATTAATCAAGAGTACGCAAACTCGTAATGGGTGAAGTAAAAGCAAATTCAAACGGGAACATGTCGAGAAAAAGCGGAATCCTGATAATGTTAAAAAAGCTGTTAATACCCACATAAATGCAGTATCCGATATTTACTCTACCCATATTTTAATTTTGACATGACTATTTCATGCGTCGGCTTATCAAACTATAAAAGTTTTTTAATTTTATATCCTAGAGAGTATTGAGAGTTTGGCTAATCTGGAAATATTTTAATAGAGACTTTTAGTTCGTAGGAAAATGCATGATGAAGAGATTCGTTGGTCGGCCTCACTGGAGTATAATGCTTAATTTCAGTTGAAATGGGAATCGAAAATCAGCTAATCTTCGTATCTTGAAATATTGATAAAAGACTTTTGAACACATGATAGCTTCGTCCAACCAGTGGTTTCTGATAGAAGTAGTTAGAAAAGGAACTAGAGAAATAGGTTCTGCTAATAGACTATGGAAGAAATCTTTATGTCTAATATCATATCGTTAAGCTTACTTTCATTTCGAGTGAAAGTGTTGAATGAAGATATTCGACGGTCGGTTCCACCAGAAGACGACGGCGGATTCCTCTTGACCAGATCTCGATTGGTTTTATTGGAAGATTCATTCTAATGCAATTTCCTATGTAATCTCATTCGATTTCGGTAGAAAGGTGCTAAGCTTTTCTTTGTCATATGACGAACATCATTATAGCAAGGTATCATCGTCACAAGAAATTTCAAGCAATAAGTCAAGAAAACTTACCGACA